CTAGCCTGTTCGCCGAAGTACTGTTTAATAATAAAATAAACTTATGGCGCACCTCTGTGAACACATACTGCTGTTATATAAAGTCTCTGGAAGGTTTCTGGACACAGAGACGCTGCAGAGCTGCATTCTTTGAGAACTTTACACAAAAAGCCGCTAGCTTCTGTTAGCATCAAAGCATTTCCGCCACGTCCGGCGGGCGCCACCGCAGGTCAGGACTTCTGGTCTGAACACCCCTAGCGTCTGAAATTTAGAGTATGCGCGTCTAGTGCTTTGTTTGAGCGAGTGGCAAACAAATTATTTGCGAGGCCCAGTGAGATATGTCCGTTATTGTTACAATGTATGTTCACAGGCAAGGCCCAGGAGGCCTACGTATCACTTTCACCTGAGGACAGTCTTATCTCTAACAAGGTGAAAGCAGCAGGCTTACTGGCAAAGATTTAGACACTATGAAAAGGCAGATGGACAAATTAACGTGGAAAATTGCTCTTTGATGGTTTTCTGCACAGGAGGTAAAAAAACGAAGATTAACGTTGTGTAGCTTGTCATAATTTGCAAAATCACTTATACACGTATTCTATGTCAACTTTATGTAGACCTTAAAGGGTACCTATGTTGGATTTTTATGTTATTAATTTTATGACTTATTTTAGTTCCTACTAGCCCAGACAGATGAGCTATTGATTGTGTCATGTGTTATTCGCAATATAATAATTATTAGTGCCGTTCTCCTTTGTCTATTTCTGTTTCCTTAGCCACACACACTTACCAATACAACGTACAATGTACAAACTGATCACCTGCCAAACCTACAATACAGCTGATCAAAAGATTCTCAAACTGGAGTCTGCCGATAAGGTCCCCAACCATAAAAGAACCTCTCCGTTCTTCACAGTGTTCTTACTTTACTTTAAAAAGATGTTTTGTGTTAATATATGTTTGTGCATGTTTTGCAAAGATGTGTGAAACACTTTACAAATGAAAAGCTGCTATTTTGATCTACGCTGTCTCTATCTATAGATGCCCTGGCAAGCAAAACATTGCAGATCATTTTGTGTAAAAATGATTGATTTTAAAAGATATTGTGACAGTATCGTTATTGGGAAAAAAATATCGAGATGTTTATTTTTGACCCATAGGGAAAACTTTGGAAGCGTCCCTTTTTCCTCACCGCATAGTCCAGTGAGGCATGTTGGTCAGGTGGGGCAGTTTGGACCAAGAGATTCTCCAGAAAGAGTTTGGCCAGTGATGCTCGTACTGCAATAAACACGGTCATCAGGTGGAGAGAGAGCAGCATCCTGACATGTACGTTTATTCCCCCTTCATAGTGTTGTCTTGTTGCCCAATGGTGGAACTGAAGTCCCAGTCACTATCTTGAGAGACACAGCCGCGCCACGGTCAATCATAGGGCAAGATGCTTTGCCTCTGTCTGCTAAAACCTTGGTTAACATCTTAACACCCGCCTCATTTTGGCTCGTGCATAAAAGTTGGGCATACTCAAATTTCTTTGCAGTGTTAAAAACACATCTTACATGTCACAGATATTAATGTATGTCATTACTATTTCACTCTGCAGCCTTTGAAGTTTGGGGGAAAAAACAACTGTTTAAAGTTTCAGACATCTAGGTTTTATAATTTTTATGCAGTTTCTCTTTTTCATCAAGTAGTGCCAACACTGACACGAATCTTCTCGGGAAAGCCCTCATTTTGTAGCTAACCAGTTGGAGTTCACGAGCATTTAAAATGACAGCTTGTGGGGTTTGAAGTTCAAAATACATCTGCTATTGCCAGCAGAACATTTTGATAATGAAAACGACCACCTTTAAAGCCTCACAGAGATGTGGTGAGCAGCAAGCAGTCAGTGTGTGGCCTTAACCGATTGATGTATTAACCCTATATGCCCGCACATGTTTTACAAATGATCAATTTACTCGAACGGTAAAACGTAGCAACTTACTTTTTTTTCCTCTGTGAAGTACGTAATCAGGGCTTTCCGAAACTAGTTTTGATTTGTCTGTGCGATGCACGGAGGATAAACTACGTTTGTCTGAAAGTCCGTGTCCAAAGCATGACCCGTGAGGTACAAACAGCTGTGAGATACAAACACACAGGGACTGCCAAAGATCGTCAGAGAGTGAGATCTCTCACTCCTCTGCGTTTCCTTGTTCTCCCACAGTTGAAACTACAGCTGCGATTGCAAAAACCGGCTGAAGAGTGCGCATTATTGATAAAGACGATAATAAATACAGTAAAATGACATTATGTGTATATGATGTATATAAATATATGTATTAAATAAATAATATGTTTTTTTTTTTTTTTGCTCAGTTTTTTATGTTTTACGTTTTTTACAGCTGTACTACAGAAGCAACCCCAGCATTATAGACAAACTGCTTCAAGAAGGGCATCAGGAGTACAGAGTTTTTTGCTTTTATAGTGGAATTTTGTAAAAAGTATAATAGTTAGAGATTCAATTTTTTCCCCCATTATCCCCAAGACCATAAATAACATTTATATGCAGTGTAAAAAGTTATTTATAGCATTTCATTGTGTTTTTTCAATACATTTTTGTTAAATTGATTTTCCGTTTGATTTTTTTCTTTGTCTTTATGATTCCATCATTTTTATATAATTCATATGACAGCTTTACAATATGAATATTCTAAAACCCCAAGTTGTACTGAAAAAAACAAAGTATACTGCTTGACTCTGCATCAAAAGATGACTGTTTTATGAACCATTATACACAAAGAAAACCAGGCGAGGAAAGTTCCCCAAAATGACCCATGGGCATAGAGGGTTAATATGTAATTTGAAGAATTTTCCTCTCTGAGTGCACTGTATCAAATATGTCTGGAGTTGGACTGTAGACACTTTTTATTGAGCCACCAGGTGGCAGTAGCGCTCTGTGGGTGACTGGTCAAAGGTTACAGTCTGAGCCTGGTGTGCAGGAGAGAGAGGCAGGGGGAATACAGCCAGGGAAAGGCTTTGTTTGGAGATCAAGGGGAGGGTCAGGACAGCAGACCAGCGGTGCCCCAAAAAGTCACAGAAAAGCAGACTATTCCTAATACTATCTCTTAAAGCGCGTTCAGACCAAAAGCTTCAAAAAGCTTTTGACGCGCTTCAACTGACGCCGGGTTATTTTGTGTCATTTTGGTGCTTGAAGATTTTGACGCGCCTGACGCCAGTGGGAGGAGCTTCTCTGTTGCCTGTAGTCAGGACAGCGGTGGATTTCCAGAAAGCAGCGAGCCTTTATTTGTTATATAAAGCAAAATAACGTTGTTGTAGGGTTTCTACAAAACATGTTCTGGGTTCACCACAGTCTTGAGAGGCTGCAGTGTTTGCCGAGTTCCGTCATTTACTCCAGGAGCTGTGTACGGAGGAGTTTCGCTTTCAGCGGTACTTCCGCATGTCACTTGCCCAGTCGTGAGCTCGCCTCTGCCCGCCTGGAGCTTGCTGCCTCTGCCCGCCTCTCTTTCGCTGCCTCTCTCTCCTCTCTCCCCTCTCCCCACCCTTCCTCCCCCCCCTTCTCGCTTTTAATGAAAACTTGACGCTTTTGAAGTCGAAGTTAAGTCCGGTCTGAACACAGACACACACAACAGTATTCTATTGCACTTATACAATAAGTATATAGTCTGTTCACTTTGGTTTATTGTCATTTATAGTGTTTATTGTTGTAATTTTGTTCTTCTGTGACTTCCTGTTATTGACAAAAATTTTGCACCACCTAGTGAATGAATACTGACCATTCTTTCTGGCATAGTTTGTCATGGGTTCTACTTTCAATTTACTTTTTGTAAATGTTGACAAGTACTTTGAAATATTCAACCAACACAGTGGATGTGGGTGGGTGTGCCATATAACTTGTATAAGTTGTTGCTGTTTTCTAGCATGTAAGACACTGGACATGTATGAGGAGACACTAAAGATGAACTAAACAGTGTCACTTTTCTCCATGGTGCGTCAGTTTTCACAAATACCCAATTTTCTCAACTATTTGGTGATTTCTGTCAAACTTCCCTCTATTGGACTGGGGATTACAGGAGAACGAAACAAACTAGAAACAAACTTCTTTTTGCTGATGAAAGACAGTAGGGCTTTGACTTTTGCACAAAAATCATATTCAGTTTGTCAAATCAAGTTTGTTTGATACAGTTCCTCACAGCAGCAGCAGAACGCTCAATCCTTATTTCTTGATAACGGCCCTTTCAAACCAATAATGACCGCTGCCCTTTGGCAACGCACTCTGTGCTTGTAATTCAGGTGCGAAAAATATGAAGATTACTCCGGATATTAGTTTGCACACTTCGTCACAACGAGCTTTCAGCGCCTGTCACTGACTACTTCTGTCTCTGCAGGGAAGCTATCAGAGCTAGCCACACCCAACACAAAAAACCATCAATCAATACATTTAAATGTTAATCTGAGAATACATCATACATATACATTCTTAATACACGTGCACAGAGGTTTTCTGAATTATCCATTAACGTTTTCATGACAAAAATAGTTCTAATGTGACAAAAAGCGATAGCGATTCAGAATTCTTTTTATAGTTTTCATATTTCCAGAGAGTTCTAGTTTTGAAGTAACCTACTAGCTAGCCTAGCTTTTAACCGTCTAGCCACGTCGGGGCAAAACCTTTGGGGAACTAACTTACATATACATTTCTATCATTTAAAAAAGATGATGCCCATTACAGCTTTGAATATTAAGGGCTGTCTAATATTCATTCAAATAATATATCTCATTTACTTTTTTAATATTCGAATTATATTCAAATATCAAAATTTTAAGTTAAGGCCCTAGTAGACCAGTTTTTCTGACTCATTTTTCATAGTCACAGTCAATGAGTTAATCTCTTGATATTCTATTGATTTTCTATTATTATACTTAGTTTTATAAAAATAATATGAGAAACAATTAAAGAACAGTGGCAATTGATTGGACATGGGGGGGTATTCCGTTTGGTTAATGTCATCAAAGATATGTTCAATACTCACCATTGAAATGAATTGTAATGAAAGTAAACCATTCCAAGGCCGTATAAAAAGGCGGCATTCTGAAAAAAAACATATTTTAATGACAGAAAAAAACTTGATCATCAATGGGCTAGATGTGTCTGCAAAACTCAGATCTTATATTAGCAACAAAAACAGTGAGTCAGTAAGATTGGGATGAAGTCAATGAACAATGATGACAGTTACCTTCCAGTAGTCTGACTGTAAAATGAAGTACCTCTGGTATGCAGATAATGCTATACAGTGAACGGGCAAAACAGAAAAAAATATTGGTTAGTGTCTAAAATATCAATTGACAAAGGTCTATGAATGAAATTCTCACCTTTTGGGTAGTCCTCCAGTAAAAGATTGAAATGGCCTAGTTGACAAAACATTTCTGGTTCCACTTTCCCGTCAGATTTTTGGATGATGGTTTCATAGCAGCCTACAGCCTGAAACGAATAAAACAATAACAATATATTAGGGATGCACTAGTAGCTTAGCGACAAGCGGACAGGATGTCGGAAGTATGCCTGTTTTTTTAAAGTAAACTAGTGAGAGTAAAACAGACAGTACGTCGTTCAAGGCAAAATTGTCACGAGGTGGGTCCAAAACACACACGTCTAACACCAGCAACTAGACAAAACATCTGAAAACTAGTAGAGCAGCAAAATATAGTACCTTTGCCAGCACCGGAGTACACAACCAACTCTACAACAAAGCATTTGTATGAGAGTAATTTATTTTATTGTTTATTTGGTTGGGACAATGGATGTAAATCGGTGACCGTTTAACCTAGGGATGTAAATCGGCGACCGTTTAACCGGTGGTTGACCGTCACAGCGTTAACCGGTCAAAGCTGTCGGTTAAAAAAGAGAAAAAGGGGAGAGGGGAGGTCTCTTAATAACGCTATTTTAAGCCCTATTTGCACGATGTGACGAGCGGGTCCATATCTAGCTGTGTGCGCCCATGTATTATAAACTCCGGGACGACTCTCACGCGCCACATATGCACACACGCACGCACACACGCGCACATACACACACACACACTTTCCCCCTCTCCATACGTAACATCCACACGCATCATCTCTCCCCTCTGTTACCGTCAAAGTTGCACACTGGCGCGAGTCAGAACTACATTGGAGCTTACATTTACACACACACACATATACATACTGTGATGGCAAGCTGCCTAGCCTCGGGGACGCCAACTCACCACCCCCCCCCCCCCCTTTTGAGCTTTTTCCTTCATTGGGGTATGTAATTCCATGACAATTTGGCGTTGCTGACACGTTCTATGTTGGATTTTTTTTTCGGCGTGGAGACGATCGTGTGTTGTTTGGCCAACCTGGGACAAAAAACCAGCCTCCCCTACCTCACTTAGCGTTTGACGAGAAGCAGGAGGGACACCCGCTCGCCTCGCGCAGGAAAAACTATTCGACTACAGGACCATAAAAGAACCTGATCTGGTGAGTTTTGTCTTTTCATTTGCGTAACAAGCCCAGGGCAGCACTTAAGTGTACACGGGGATTTGATTTATTTACGTATTTTTGGGGTATTTCATTCATTGCCACAGCATAGACTGTGTGCGGGATTTTTTGGGGTATTTTGTTCTAGATTGAAGCTAGCGGCTGCGTGTTAGTATCGCTCAGTAAGCGACCCTGAAGATATCTCTAGTGCCTTCAGCCAGGCCCGGTCCATTTCAAGAACGCGCGCTCGTTGGTTGAACCAGCGGGGGGGGAACGGATCGCTCCAAAGTGAGTAAGAGCAGGGAGAGACTAAACGGGTTAGGTCCATTGTTCTGTACGAGAAAATGGGGAAAAATCAATCTAGAGATGCCACACCGCGGGGAATGTTGACGTCCCCCGTTACAATGGCAATGGAAAAACGGTTCGGATCTAAAGCTATGGAGTGCTTGCCTATATGGTGCAGTTCATTTGGCTTTCCCGACGGAGGCTCTATGTCTCTGAATCAATTACGCATTTTGCGTGATAATTTAGAAGAAGAAAGGGAAAAAATACTTGGTTTTAAGAAAATTACAGCAGAAGATGTTAGGGCCATACTGAAACACCAGACCTGTCTTGCCATGTGGGAGGATTTAGCTACAGAACGGGACCGCAAAAAGACGAATAAAGCCATAGCTGCTCCGCCTTCCACGGAAGGGGGGGAAGCACAGGCAGACACACAGGCGGACACACACACACACACACACACACACACATCCCACACACCCCCCCACCCTACCGCCCCTTCTCACCTACTAACCCTTTCACAGAAGGAGCAGAACTCCATGCTAAGTACGGCGCCCAAGCAAAGCGCTGTGTTAAAAAATGTGCAGACTACTGTTGTGCCCTCTCTCTCTCTCTACCCAGATTTGTCTACGCTTTCCTCCGTGGCCCCGCTGTATGAAACCGGCCCCTGTCCTACGCCTGAAACACCGCCGCGCCAGAGCCAACCACGTCAGTGCCTCCCAAAGCCTCTCGCATCTGCTGACGCCCCACAGGAAGTGGCCCCCGCGCTGTCAGCAGCAGAAGGAGAAGCACCAGAAGCAGAGCCGCGATGGAGCAGGGAAACGCTCCGGCGGGAACCAAGGCCCACAAATCACTTCGTCGCCACTTTCCCCATGATAGAGATGGTGGGCCGAGAAGGACCGGCGCTGGTCTTCAGACCCTGGGGGCCGAGCGAGTTTCTATCCGCTTCACAACTGCTATCTACACGGCCAGAGACAAACTGCTCAAAATTCTGCGAAGACCTGCTCGCTTTCTGTCGCGAATACAAGCCCTCAGGAGCGGAGTGCGCTCGGGTTCTCGTTTACAAGATGTCGCCTGCGGACTTTGGGAAATTTAAGCCATATTTGCCAGAGCCAGGACTACGGGCTAAAGAGATTGTGGAGTCAGACTCCGGAGCATATTTGACTGCCATAAAGAAAATGTGTGACGGGCTAGCAGCAGTTTTTCCACGCAAATACGACCTAACCATCCTGTCTAAATGCAAGCAGGAAAAAGGCGAAAGGGTCGAGGAGTACTATAGCCGCCTGTTGTCTGTGTTCAATGAACACTCTGGTGTACCCCCGAAGCTCCCAAGTGCAACGGACGGGGAGGAGAAGGACAATCCCGTTTACAACGGTTATTTATGCTCCAGATTTGTCGAAGGACTGTTACCAGAGGTGGCTTTAAAGGTGCGGGACTCGTATGTCGCATTTGATGACGGACCACAGATAAAGGAACTACTTATGCACGCCAAACATGCAATTTTTTTGTTTGGAAACATTTAAAACTCAGGCTACACTGCTGTCGGTCCAAGCCCCTAATTCCTTAAACCCCAATGACATTTCCAAAAAGGACAAAAAGGGATGGGAGAAAAACAACGGACCGTGGATATGCTGGAACTGTGGAAAAGTTGGCCACAGGGCAAGACAGTGTCGCAATCCGCGGCAGAGCGGCCAGCAGCAGTGGCAGCCGCGGCAGGGCGGCCGCGGCACTGGGCGCCGCAGCAGAGCGGCCAGTGGCAGCCGCAGCAGAGCGGCCAGCAGCAGTGGCAGCCGCGGCAGGGCGGCCAGCAGCAGTGGCAGCAGAACCAGAACGGCCCGCAGCAGTGGCAACAAAACCACAACCGAGAGCCGGACCAGTACCAGCACCAGGCACAACAGAGTCAACACGGACAACAGCACCGCTATGAAGGTTCACAACACGGCAACCACCAGATGCGCCACGAGGCGGACTGACTAGGCGGGGACAGACAGCGGGCTGACGGTGAACACAGGGGTGCCACGAAGGAAACCGTACGGGAGACTCATCTACCGGGTAACGCACACATACACGTCACCGAAGCGATCACTCATCTTTCACGTAAGTTTGAACCAACTGCAATCAGCACGTACACATTTTTTGAGAAAATTCATGCTAAATTTCCAGAACATACGCTAACAATCTGTGGCGAAAATGTTACTTTTCTAGTTGACTCCGGGGCAACAAATTCTGTGCTAAAAAGTGACAGCCTTTCTGTCTCCCCTAAAATGAGTGGCCGCTTCACATTCTCATTAGCAGCGTCGGGAGAGAGACGACTAAAAGAGCAATTTACGTCACCGCTAACGTGTTTTGATTCTCAGGGCAACCAGCTTAAACATTCGTTTCTATATTCCCCATTGTGCCCGGTTAATCTACTAGGCCGAGACCTTATGTGCAGACTCAATTTAAATCTGCTCTCAACACCAAGCGGCCTACGGGTGGTACACGCTAGTGACCTAGCAAATGCTCCATGTTTCACCGGCATGCACAAGGAGGCACCGGTCCCAAAAGTTAACTACCACTGGAAATTGACACCAAACCCTGAGATTGCTAAGTTATTAGCCACAACAGTGGATAGAGTGACGCCCGCACAAAATTTGGAGGTCAACCACGCGAACGACCTAAGCTGCTCTCTCCGGTCGTTCCCAGACAATAACTTGGAGTTTGAAAATTCATGGCTTCAGTGTAGTGAAGATAGGCTACAAACGGAGTATGTTTATTGGGATAGGCACTACTCTATGGTATCTGTGTTACTTAATGAGCAACAAAAACACTTTAATCGACCCACTATGCCCCACTTTGCACATAGCTTTGTCCAAACCCACGACTGCAGCGTGGAGTGAGGCCTCTGTCCTTATTAATAAGTGTAGCAATGCTGGGGACTGGACACAGGTCCAAGATGAGGACACGTGGTTCTCTGAAAATGCTAACGCCTGGAGAAGCCCTTTTAAGTCTTCTCTCGCAGCAAGCCGACATGTGTGTTTTGATCATGACAGCATGACTTCAGTCCCACAGGGGACAGAGCTCATGCTGTCAGCAGCGGATGCAGAGGCCACGCCTGCACTTCGCGCGGTCCCAGACAGACTTTGGGCAAAAGGCCCAACCGACGTGGGCCTCATCAAAAAATTGTGAGCCGGTTATAATTGTGCCTAAATCTGATTTCCGTCCGTGCAGGAAGCAGTATCCTTTGCGTGAGGAGGCTATCAAGGGAATTACACCAGTCTTCGAAGCGCTACGGGAGAATGGTGTAGTCGTCCCTTGCAAGTCCGGGGTGTTTGCAGCCCTATCCTCCCAGTAAAAAAACACACTGAACCAGGAGCGCCTGAAAAGTGGCGGTTTACTAATGATCTTAAAGCTGTAAATGATGCTGTGGCTCCCATGGTGGCAGTGGTACCAAATCCATACACGATCCTGAGTCAGGTTCCGCCTGAGGCTAAATTTTTCTCTGTTGTTGATTTGGCTAATGCATTTTTCTCTGTTCCAGTGCACGGAGATTCCCAATTCTGGTTCGCGTTTTCGTTTGATGGGCGCATATATAATTTCACCCGCCTCTGCCAGGGTTTCCGCGATGCACCCACAATATTTAATGCGGCCTTACGTGAATCCTTGGCCCCGTTGGTTCTGTCGCCAGGCACGGCGCTCCTCCAGTACGTAGACGACCTC